CTAATATTGAAAATGTAAAATAGTCAATCACTTAGCAAAAAAATTAGTTACATCAACATTTAATTGACGGAAAGACGAAATTGAAAATTGAAGTTAAAGGACGTTTTTGGTACTTTTTGAAGTTCAAGGATGAATTGGTTCAAAAATAAAAGTTGAGGGATCAATTCAAATATTTAACCTAAAAAAATATGTTAGCCACGTTAGCATCACTATTCAATTAATTCTTAAATAGAAAAAGTTGAAAGTTGACATCCTTAAATAGAAAAAGTTAAAAGTTAACATCCTTAAATAGAAAAAAATTGAAAGTTGACATCCCTATTTAGAAACTGACCAAGTTAACATCCTTATTTAGAAAAAAATTGAAAGTTGACATCCTTATTTAGAAACTGTCAAAGTTAACATCCTTAAATAGAAAAAAGTGCAAAGTTGGAATCCTTATTTGCACCTTTAGTCAAGTAATGGTTTTTTTTTTTCCCCTCTTTTTTGGTAATGTTTGTTTGTTACACAGGCAAGTTTTAGTAAATAGAAAATGTAATAAGCATAAATCTTGGAAATATAATAAAGCAAATTGCTTGATTTATCCTAGCTACTCTATTCCTAGATTTGCAAGATGATCATCATATGTGGTTTAATGTTTCCATTAAAATATAATTGCTCGTTTTGTATCTACAACATGATGAACAGCCTCTCCCAGGAGAATTTGAAGAGAACATGCTTAAGTTAATGTAAAAAAGATCAGTTGTCTCATATGGTCAGTATTATGCTTTAAGTTGCTTCTTTCATTTGAGCGATTATGTTTTTTGTTTCTTTACCTGAATTAGTTTTCTTTTTTTCTTTTAGGATGAGATATCAAATGGGCCTTCCTCTCAGCAAACAAATGCGGTACAAGTTACCTCCAGTGAGCTTCCAGTAGAATGGTATACCTTTGCATCAAAATCTGTTTTGGCTGTAGATTACATTTCTTATTCTGTCTTAATGAATAAGTTAGTCACTTGGCAGTAGGAAACATAGATAGAGGAAAAGCGCTGAGGGATTGGTCTTCTAACCTATACTCACTAAGTCACCATGCTCTTGCATGAGAGTGAGGGGCAAGGAAGATGTAAGCCACAGGTCTGTCACTAATTCTTACTTTAACCTAAAGAGTAGGAGTTCAGTGTTTAATGAATGAAAGTAAATTTGAAGGACATGACCACCTAATAGCAGTTTCAGTAAGTACTTTAGACAAAGCAGGAATATGATTAAAATAGAAGCTTATAAAGATCTTTTGCATGTATGATTGATGGTGACAAGAACTGTATAGTGATTGGTTACACCATAAATTGCAAAATTTAATTGCTTCCACTTCCCGTCTAGCACCATGTCCATGACCCTCTTTTAAGTTAGCTCTTTGACAGATCTACCATGTACAAGAGAAGAGATCATTGCACTTTTGACCATGCTGCTAGGAGCATGGTATGACCAGAAAGATCTGAAGCCTTCCTTCCCAGCTTTTGTGAGTTCTGCTCACAATTCCAGTAAGTTTCCTAGCATCAAAAGCTTATTCCATATCTGCTGACATTGATATGCAAATATATGGTTTGTTCTGCTAGTAAGGAAGATCCTATTGAAGAATTGATTCCATTAGCCATTGCTCTAGCTCAAGGCAGATGCTTGGCACTTGCACCTTTTTGGCCTGCTTAGTTACACAAGAGCAGCCAAGATGTCACGGCCCCCTTAGATAGTAGTGTTGGGCTACTTTGGGTTCTTCAATTGTGGCTTTATTCCTATTTTCCAGCTCTTGCATCTATTCTTTTTGCCTTGCTAGGTTAGGAAATTCCCACCTATGGCTTGATGTTTAAGGATGCTGTTGAGAACAAGAAGGGCTTTGAGGAGTGCTTCAGATTCTTTGCTTCTTTATCAATTGACAGATCTAACACAGATTTTATAGTCTTCTTAAGTAGATCTCACTGCCGCTTATGGTATAAGGCTGTTGTTCAGTCCCTAGAATTCAAAGCGTTTTGATCTATGTGTGACCTTCAGAGATCTATTTGTAGCCAAACCATTTCAAAGTTCTTATTAGCAATCTGCAAAGAGAATCTAAAACCCTTAACTTTAGTGACCAAAGGAGAATCATTGTCAGATTTGGAGTGAGAAGAACCAATATCATTTTTATGATCTTTCTTTAATGGTATTTGTTGCAATAGTAACTTTGACAGAATCATCTTTCAACTTAGCTGATTGATGCTAAGTCCCTATGGCAGAAGTGGCTTCAAATGGAGAGGCGAACCTAATGAGCCTTTTGGCTGTGTAAGGCTTAACTACAGGCCTTTTAACACCTACAAAATGGAGGCAAAAGTCAATTGAAAGCAAATTAAGCTAGATTCTAAGCTAAGGAAGCGTAAAGCAAATTTTTACCTCCTAGTTTCTGTTACTTGGCAGAGGTTTCTTCTTCGGTAGAACCTACAAAAGTGGGAGCTTTCCTTTTAACAATAATTTTGGGAGCTTTCTTTAGCAGATCGGGTTTCTTGGTCTGGGTGGTAATTGTAGATTCCAAGACCTCGCCTTCTTTTTTTTGGATTTTCTCATGAGTGGTAATGTGGAATATCATTAATAACCTTATGAAACAGGGAAAAAAGTATGATTGCCACTATGTCTTATTTATAACAATGCAACTCAATTGAAAAGGGGGATTTGGCAGGATCAAAGTCTATAAAATTTATATTGTGGTTGCAAGCTTTTTTGTTAACATGCTTGATTCTCCCATCACAAAATGAAGAGGGTAGCTAAAATATCTCAAAATTTTCTAAAACCTTAAAATTTAAGTTAGGAACTTATTTGAGGGAAATTATTATTGATGGGCATAATAACTAAAATTTCCAAACTTAAGCGGGGGTTGAAAGAGAAAATTTGTTGATAAAAGAGTTAAAGCTGGTTTTCTTTTTTTCTTTTTTTTTCCTCACCCATCTTGTATGTTTTCTAGCCCTTCACTTGAAGCTCTGCAGCCACTAGTCCTAAACTGCCCCAACAACTCTTCATCATGAGAATAGGTAAAAACTTAGTTTTTTCTTTCTTCTCTTAGCAAGGTTTAGAGATCAATGAGCTTATGGTTCCAAAATAATGCTAAAAAATTCTAGATTTGGCTACTGCAACCTCCCAATCTCCTGGTCTGTGTTGAATTTGTTGTCCATAGTAAGGGATCACCATTTTCCAACACTTTTCGATAAGAAATTAGCCTTATTGCTCATCTTTTCATCCTTAATTTGAATTGGGTTAACTCTAATCCTTTAGGGTTTTCAATTTTGAGATTTTTCTATAGTTTTCCTCCTTGGTTTTGCCCTAGTGCCACCAAATTTGATTATTGTTGCTAGTAATTTTGACAGCATGACCTTGCACTAGTGTTTTGCCCATAAGTCTTTTTGTAGACATCAGATTAAGTTTATTCTTGATTCTATGGAAAGTTAAGAGATAACCCTACAATTTCTATGTTTGACATTTAACCTAATTAAGCTGTTTTAATGGTGAAAACTCTGTTGCAAGTTCGATTCCTATTGGCGCACAAAACTTGCAGCTTGACCCTAAATTAGTATTTTGGCCATAACTTTCTTTGTAGATGTTAGATTAAAGTAATTCTTGATTTTATAGAACGCTAAGACATAGGACTACAATTTATCTCTTAACCATTCAACCAAATCAGTCAATTTTTGGGCACGAATTCTATTGAAATCTCTGGTTCAAAAACATACCAGAATTTGCCCAAAACTATGCTATATTTTCTGTTTTATTCCCACATTATTTGCTGCTACATTGCATCATAGTTATAGTAGACTTTTAGCTGTTGTTTTCCTGCTCTAAAACCCTTTGTTATTGCTTTGTTTTGGCTACATTGTTGCTACTGGATTTATGCTTGAATGCTACATTGTTTTGCTATTGTTTTACCCAAAAATCGCTGTTGATTATACCTACAATTCTCTATTGTTTTTGCCTAGAAAATCCCTATTATTCAAGGCTTTTTCGAAGCATTTAGAACTATTCTAAATAGCAAAAATCCCCACCATCCCACCATACTGCCTAGCTTTTGTGCTGCTATTTGTGGTAGTTTTGAGCTTGGTTTTCTCTCATTTTTCACTTTGTTTTATCCACCAAATCTACCTAGTAAACCCACTATATGTAGGGTCTTCTGTTGTTATTTTAGGCATATTTTGAGTATGACTATGCATAGGAATATATATGCATATATTAATAGGGGTTTCAATGGGTAGAAGTGACCGAGATGTGTAGAAAGAAATTATTTCTCAGTTAGAAACTTGATACTAGGATTAAAAAACCAATTTAGTTAAATGTGGTATCTTATAATCTTGTTTGTTCTTTGATGTAGCTTAGGTTCTAAATCACTTTCACTACTTTAAGATCTTGAATTCTCGCTTTTTATTTACCTACAAGGTGAAGTAAGTAAATGTCCTTGGATTTTAAGGTAAAGGTTTTAAAAGCATATTTTAAATTGTTTTTGAAATAGTGGCGGGACGTAACCCGATTTTTATTAGCACCTGAGTATAATTGATTTGAAATGAAAGTTATTATTTTTATTGAATTGAGCATGCCTACATGGAGTTTTCTTGTTTGTTCTGGAAAT